TCTTTCTCTTTGCTCCCCTCTGCCAAAACCCAAATTTGCAAGAATTAAACCGAAAGGCGCTCGGGAGATGGGAGGGCGGTTGTTTGCCTCTGAGGAAGTGAAGTCAAAAAAAGCGTGCCGGGGGGAGAGGGCAGCAGGGACGGAGCACGGGGATGGGCGATGCCCACCCGGCTGGTACCGTATCCCTCGCTGCTGAGCGCCGGCCGCTCCGATTCGCACGCGGGAAAGCGAGCCTAGATCTCCAGCCAACTGAAAATCAACATGTTAGGGAAATAAATAAATAAATAAAACAAATCCGTGTGCTGTTAAGCAAACCTTGGGTGTTTCAGGAAGAGATTAAGGGGAGGGGAGAGTTTATGGGCAGAAGCAAAACAGTGCATTTATTTAAAAAAAAAAAAAATCAAGGTTGGTTGATTTGGGATGAAATAGGGGCTAGTGGATGCCTGACGTTTTTGCAGCAGGAAATACATGATATTTGTGGGTTTTTTTTAGCGCGCTGCTTGTAAGAGCCAGGGCAGGTCGGATCCACCAGAACTTCTGAGCAAGCCTCTTGGGGGGAGAAAATGCAGGAAAAGGAGAAAAACTGGGACAAACGCTAACCTGCTCTCTTGTGGGCCTGGCAGAAAAGGGTTAAGCGAAGCAGTTGAATGCTGCAAGCCTTGTCAGGGTTGTACTATTTTTTCTAGTGCATAAGGAGAAGGGAGAGGAGGGTTGAGCAGAAAGGGGAAATTTCCAGGAAAAGAAGGATCTGGAGCAATATGTCCCCAGCTGCTGCTGAAGAGAGAAACCAACAGGCGTAAATGGCCTGGCGAGTGCTGAAATCTTTGCCGAGAAGACGCAGACCGGGGGGTTATTTTCCACCTGCCTCCCCTCCCCGGTTCTGTAATCCTGGCACAAAGTAGACAAGTCGAGTTGGAGCCGAAGAAGGGAGGTTAGAGGATTTTCTCTTGGTGGGGGGGGGAGAGGAAAAAAAAATATACAAAAAAGCAAAAAGGTCGGTTGGACATCTCCGCGTCGAGCATCCCCGTGCTGCGAGCAAGCGCCCCAGGCGGCCGAGCTGATCTCCTTCAGCGCCCGGCTGGAGCAGGGGGGCAGAT